TCCCTCCCCTGCTTGCACTCTGTCTCTCTTTCTCAAAAATAAACATTTTTTAAATTAAAAGAAAACCACACCAAAGCACATCATTACCCACCTTACTGAAAAGCAATAAGGAGAAAATCTGAAAATCACAAGAGGGAAAAAAAGTACTTTATATATACAAACTAACAAAGATGACAGCCAAGTTGTCAGAAACGCTCTTCCACTGAAGACAACGGAACAGCATCTTAAAGTGCTGAAAACCAATTATTAACCTAAAATTCATACCTAGTGAGAATATCTTCAAAAACGAGAGTGAAATAGTCTTTCAGACAAAGAAAAGCTGGTAGAATTCATCACCAGCAGATTCACAGTGCAAACAAAGGTAGTTATTCAAGGGGAAAAAAAGATACAGTAAGGGAATTTGGATTTACACAAAGGAATGAAGAACATCTATGGGTAAATATGTGACTACATATAAAAGACTTTTTCTTATTTTTAAACTTTTTAAAAGATAATTGTTTAAAGCAAAAGTAACAAAGTAATTTGGGACTTATAATGTGTAAAATTAGGGGTGCCTGGGTGGCTCAGTTGGTTAAACGTCCAACTTCGGCTCAGGTCATGATCTCATGATTTGTGGGTTCAAGCCCCACATTGGGCTCTTTGCTGATAGCTTAGAGCCTGGAGCCTGCTTTGGATTCTGTCTGTCTGTCTGTCTGTCTTTCTGTCTGTCTGTCTGTCTCTCTCTGCCCCTGCCCTGCTTGCACTCTGTTTCCCTCAAAAATAAACATTAAAAAATTTTTAAAAATGTGTAAAATTAAAATATGTAATAGCACAAAGGAAAGGAAGGGGAAATGGAAGAATATAAGAATCTTACACAGTGTGTGAAGAATGGTATACTATTTGAAGACAGACTGTGGTAAGCTAGAGATACTACAAACCCAAGAACAAACAGTAGCAAATAAAGAGGTGTATATAGCCAGTCAGCCAAAAGTGGAGACAAAGGCAAATCATACAAAAGCAGTTAATTCAAAAGAAGAAGGAAAATGAAACAGTATGTACAATACAGAGTATCTTGCATTCAGTTTTCTTGGGGTGGGTAGTATAATTACCAAAAAAAAAAAAAAA